TGAAGCCACCAAAAATATACATTGTTCTATATAAGAAAATCACAAAGTCTGCAATATCCCATTGGGAACATGCACACGACCTGCGCGATTCCTTTGTAACCTCGCACGTTTATCGTGGAATTTTTACGCCCTGGTCAAGCGAATACGAAAGTTAATGAGAGTTGCAACTCTCATTAAATTCGATGAGAGTAGATAAGAGTTTTTGCTATGTGGCAGTATGTGTATCCCTGCCTACTCCACATGCAGGTTCTTATATTTTGGCACATATCAGTTATATATGACAAAGTCTGCTTGGTTAAGGTGTACGCCCGCAAATAAAGACGAACACCTCAGAAATTAAGCGACAGGGCAGGTAATATATCCAGTGAAACTCACATGAACCCTCATGTTCTCGTTTGACGACAGGGCAGGGATAGCTCATCATGAGAGCTGAGAAAACACTCATTCAAATCCATGTTTGCCAACTCTCATCAATTCTCATGTTCATTTGACCAGGGCTTACTTACTCAACAAGACAAGATAATTGACCAAGGTGACTAAGAAATACCAACCTTCCTTTGGCGACTGCAGTGTGACCGTAACGGGCCAAGGTTTGGGCAATTTGTGGCAAGTCTTCAGAATACCACTTCTGACAAGCTAAAAAGGAAAGATTCATAATTTTTAAAATGCTTTATACTGTAGCAATAAAAAAAGATTCATTTTTTTAAAATAAAGCTACAATATCGCTGACAAAACCCTTCGGGCAGTAAAGCATCTGTAGGCACCCGGCCTCCTCATCCCACCATCTGTAGGCACCAGCCTCCTCACCCCCTCCTCATCCCCCCCCTCCTATAACAATGTTGTTTTATGGTATTGTATCATAAATAAACAGTGCCACACGTTCTCAATAAAAACATGTCACAGCAACATTGATTAGCGGGGAGGTGAGGGGTATATTTGGCTATTTTGACAATGTTTTTCCAGTTGCCCGAATATATTTTGTCAATGATTGAAAATAGAAAAAAAATCCAGCTAAAATCTTCATGAAATATAGTTGGAAACAAACTCAAAATCGAAGTTCCATATTAAAACTTAATATTTAAGTAAAGCAAGAGGACACAATATTCAACAGTGACATTTTGAATTTATTGCAAATTCATCGTCAGACGTCTGATGATGAATATGCAATAAATTCGAAATATCACTGTTGAATATTGTGTCCTCTTGCTCTACTTAAGTATCAAGATGGAACTTCTTATTAAGTTTCAAGATGGAACTTCTACTTGGAATTTGTTTCCTACTTTATTGTACAGCAAGCAAGCGCAATAACTCACCGAGATCATAAACGTGCAATTTGGTTGTATGACATTTCACGTTTATGCTATCTTTATTAACATAAGGATTGCCTCCAAACACAATCATCATACGATCAAGTATCACTGCTGAATGAAGAGTCTGACGAAATTCGCTTGAAGCCAAAGTAATCCTAAAGAAAAATAATCCAAAGCGTCCGTATTGGAGAGAAAAAATATATCATTGGAAACTGTCATTCAAAGAGCGGTGTCCAGTAATGGACCTTTCCCCTTATAACTAAAATTTCGATCTAGACAAAAATTTCATCACAGCTTGAAAGAGCATCACAAAATCAGTAATATTCCAACGTTTTGTTGCAAAATCTTGTAAAATGCGGATAATATAGCCTTGCGAAGTTTGCCATTTTTCAGTCATTTTGTATTACAAACGGGAAATTGACATCCGATTCGGGTGTTGGGGCTGCAATTTCCCGTTTGTAATGCAAAATGACTGAAAATTGCAAACTTTGCAAGGCTCTATTTTCCTCATTTTACAACATTTCGCAACGAAACTTTGGAATATTACTAATCTTGTGATGCTCTTTCAAGCTGTGATGAAATATTTGTCTAGACTTGCCTAGATCAAAATTTTGGTTATAAGGGGAAAGGTCTATTCAGACAATAAATACGGTCGTAACTAAAAGAGATCAAGAAAATTTGAGAGAAAATCCTTTGCCTGGAAGCCGTCGATTAGCTACATGTAGGGATCAAAACGAACATTTAAGTCTACTACCATTTTTCGGAAGATTGAGTATTAGTAGGAGAGCACTTACACGCCCCCTTCCATTTACAATTTCATTACAGTTCGTTATTCACATTTACCACAACTTCTTCAAAACATATTGCGAAAAATACAATTACGGAGATCGAAAGATTGATTGGTTTCAAAATTCAATGGACAACTTGCATGTTAGACTAAATTTTGATCGAAGTAAAGAGAAGGGAATCATGCACCACAGCTAAACAGAACATAATGAAATTAGTAAAATTGGAAAATTTGGTTGCGAAATGTTGTAAAGCTTGTAAAATATAGCCTTGCAAAGTTTCCAAATTTTGTATATGTTTGTATTACGTGCGGAAATTGTTACCATTTTCGGCTCAAAAATGGTAACAATTTCCGCACGTAATACAAACATATACAAAATATTCAAACTTGCGAAATGTTGTAAACGGGAATTTACTTTTTTTTGCTCAGATAAAAAATTAGTCTAACATGCAATTTGTCTATTGAAGATTAAGTTTTTACCACTGTATACCGGTTAAAGAAAAGTGCTTGTGTTAATCTGTGACATGTATACAGGAGCATAAACCCTGGGGGTGGGGGAGAGGGTTAGGGGGGGGGGCGAAATTAAAGAGTTCCCTCAATAAGCTTATATAGTTGTAGAACAAATGTAAAGCTTTATACACATTGCTGAAATGACAGTTTACTATTGAATATATACCACCCACATTGAGATATTCATAAACCTACCAGGTTCTAGAATGTGGATAATAAGCCGTCAAGCTATCCGAAGGGGCAAAAGATGACGGCGTTGCCATGGTTACACCACCATACACATAGATTCTTTTCGAGAATGGATCATAAACACTTGTGTGACCATGTCGTGCAACACCAAGAGCAGACTTGGATTTAATAACCTGCCATGTTGATTTGCCTAAAGATGATGGTAATTAATAGCTTTATTAGCATGACCATAAATTTACAGTATTGCTAAAGCATTACAAACAATATATAGAAGAAACTATGATAAACTAGGACTATTACAGATTACTATTTGTGGAATGATTTATAATAGACTAATACAATATTAAGAAAAATTAAGAGGAAAGAAAGAAGACAAGTATGCTATTTACAAATAAGGTGGTTATTACAACCTTTGCTAATCCGCATTCCTGGTTTCAAGGTATTTAAGTCTTTGCTTGAAACATGAATAAACAAATTTTGAAAGTTTGGTAATGATTTCACTATCAGTTGATTTCATTAGGTCCGCTGATAGAGTTTGAGAGTTTAGATTAATCTGGTCAGATGAAGCATTCTCTAATGAACTTCGAAGGTTTGCACGAGATTGCTCATAGGCTTTGCAAGAGAGGAGGAGATGGGTTTCATTTTCCACCTCTCCTGAATTGCAGATTTTACATAAGCGTTCTTCACGGGGTATATTTTGATAGCGCCCGATCTCAATTTGGAGGTCATGGTTGCTGACTCTTAGTCTTGAAAGACATCTTCTTTTGTATGGATCTTTTATAAATACTAGGTAGTTTTCGAGGTTGTGGTCCGTTTTGAACGTTGAGTAGAAAGTCAGTTTGGATGAATTTTCAAGTTTATGTTTCCAAAATGTTAAGTATTTTTCCTCAAGGGTTTTGGTAATAGTTTTAATATGTTCAGTCGTTATGGCTTCTAAATTAAGGATTTCTTCATTTAGATTTAAATTTTTGATAGTATCCATTGCATTTCCGTAAAAAGATATTTTCTGCTTGGAGTGTAGATCTTTCGAGATTAGAAAAGCTTGCTTCGCAATGGTTGTTTGGGGAAGCGAGTTTAAGTGAGTGATGTATTTGAAGACCCTTTTGAATACGTTAATGATGAGAGGGAGTTTTCCAAGCTCAGCTCTGGAGGCAATGTTACTTGCTTTCCTACTGATAGCGAGGTAAATTTTACAGAACTTAAGATGAACCTTCTCAATTGGTGATTTATCCCAATTGTTGAAATCATTTTTCACGTATGTCCCCCATACTTCCGAGTTGTATAGTAGGATAGGAGTTATAATTGAATCAAATATTTTAATGGCATATTTGGGATTGAGATGGCTGAAATTGAGCTGTCTTCTTATACCGTATAGAGCATGCAAGGCTTTTTCGCTTAGTTGTTTTAGAGCTAGAGTAAAATTACCATTGTGATTCCTGTACGATTTTTATGTTCCGATTTCCAAGATTAAAAATTGGTCTTGCTTTTCTTGTTTTTCTTTTTTCAAATATCATTATTTGTGTTTTCTTCAAATTTATCTCCATAAGCCATTTTTTTCTCCAACAATGGAGATCGTCTAGAGATTTTTGTAGGCCGAATTTTGATCGAGATAATAAAATTAAGTCATCGACATATAGAAGGCAGCTCAGTTTAGTCCCATTTGGTAGTATAAATGGATCGGCAGCTGTATTATCAAATAATGTTGCTAATTCGTTTATATAGATATTAAATAAAAGGGGGCTCAAAATACACCCTTGACGCACTCCTTTGGAGTAAGAGAAAAATTCAGTTCGATTTATTTTACTTTCTTTTACGGCGCATTTAGAGCTTGAATATAGACTTTTAATAAGGTTGTAAAAATGACCATCAATTTTGTTCTCAAGCAGTTTTAAAAATAGGCCTTCGTGCCGCCCAAACAGAGTCAAAGGCTTTTTTAAAGTCAACAAAGCATGCATATATTTTTTCGTTTTTCTGATTTATGTGTTTATCAATTATTGTTTTTAAGACGAAAATGTGGTCAGCTGTTCTGTGGCCTGACTGGAATCCGATTTGGGAGGGGTGAATTATGTTTCTATCAATGCTAAATTTACTTAACCGTTGATTTAAAATAGTACAAAGGAATTTACTGAGACAGCTAGTCACGCAAATTCCTCTGTAGTTATTGGGGTCAGTTTTATCTCCTGACTTAAAAATTGGCGTAATGAGACCTTCACACCATTGATCTGGGAAATGCCCTGTTTTTAAAACGAGGTTAAAAAGTTTATGGTATAATTTAAGTAATATTTTGACGCTATGCTTCAGCATTTCGTTTTTTATCTTGTCGGAATAAGCAGATTTGTTGTTTTTTAATGTCTTTGCAGCACTCAAAATGATGTCAGAAAGCAAAGGTTTACCCCTCTTTACCACGATTTTGGACATCTCATTCGATATAACTAAATACTGAAGGGATTTGTAGATGGTAATTTCGAGTGGAATTATACATTTATTTAGACCTAACCAGGGCAGTTGTGAAAAATGCAACTATCGGACCTCTGGCTGGAAAGCCTGGAATCGAACCTGCGGTCCTGTGAGTCCGGTGCAGCGCTCTTGGCCCTGATTAGGCTCTTTCAATTTGTTTGATAAAGTACGCAAGCTCTACAATCCTGGACCAAACTAGTTGAGATCTTTAAGGTAACTTCGTCAACGTTGACATTGTTTGATAACCACATATCCCTAGTATATGTTTCATGCAAAGAGCATTGAATTGGGGGTTAAGGTCATAGATATCTTATATACACTAGATAGAGCATCTAATTAGTCTGAAATTCAAAAATTGAAGCCGTGATTGCAGTCTCAGGTCGTTCCCATAAAATGAGAAGATTCGTATGTTTTCTATTTCTACAAAGAACTTAGTCTATATATACTATATGATTTGTGTATATCTTACCAATATCGTATTCTTGTACACCAGGAAACAACCCATGCACACTTAAACCAAAGATAACGATCATTTTATCCTCTACTAACGTAGCTGTGTGACCAGTCACCGCAATGTGCGTGGAGTTTAAAGAAGGAGGACGACTCCATTTACTTGAGTTGGTATCAAACACCGCCAATGTATTCACGATCACATGATCTTCTCTTTCACCGCCAAATACAATCAGCTTGCCCTGTAAAAAAATTAAACTACAATTAATAGATAGCTTAAGATTTACAACGTCGACGTCAGCTAGGACGTCAGGGCTTAGCAGCAGACTGGGACTAGGACGTCGTCCTAAAAAAGTCGATAGCTCGAGTATCTACGACGTAAACTATCTAGGGCGGCAAGCGGAAGTAAAATGATAATAGTTTTTGAAGTGTGCATGTGTCTCTTTCAATTTGCTCGTCATCTACCAAACGTCGACAACCTCACAACAAGAGTTTTACCGTCGTGGATACAAGAGCACAACAAACGGTAATGAATTCACACGTCTCTTTTAAATTCATTTTCAAATGGATGTAAATATTTATAGTTTAAATGTCTACGTCGTGACTCTTAAGTGGAAGTTTATTTATTTAGGACGACGTCCTAGTCCCAGTCCTCTGCTTAGCCCCGACGTCCTAGATGACGTCGACATCGTAGATCTTAAGCTATCTAATGATAAACTCTTAAAGAATGACATCGCGCTGCGCCTTACCGCTATACGTAGTCAAGCTCTTACTATACTCAAAGTGACTTGACTATTACATACGATATCTCCAATGAAAAAAGTAAATTATTTAAATACATCGATGTTTCCAGTTAAACCCTAGGTCATGAGGTTTGAAATGCCCTGAAGACGGGCCTTGGCTCGAAACGTCCACACGGCTGCTTATTGTAGAACGCTATAAGGGGTCGCCCTATAGACCCATTGCACATGACGTCACAGCGCCGGCGACGATGCATCTGGAGGACAAATTAGCAATCTATGCAGAATATAACCTTTGTAAACAAAGCAAATTTTGTAAAACTTTATAATAATTTTGTATTAAAATGGTTAATTTTTGCGCCGTATGTGGTTGTTGTACCCGAACAGATATTGTTAGGGAGCATCTGGAGGACATTCTAAGGATTTGTGACGTTAGTGCAATGGGCCTATAGGGCTGGTGCAGGAGTGTTATTTTATTAAATTGCGACGAACCTGATACGCGACCATAGAATGACCCCATGTGTAATCGTCCTCTTCCTGAGGCAAACTCGTCCACGTCTTGTCCTTAAGATGGTATCTGCAGTAGACGATTGAGTTTATTAGTTTTAAAAATCGTTTCCGTTAAATCTGCTTTGCAATGAACTTGCACGAGAAACTGAATCTGACGTCTAGTACCCGCCATACTCTGGTTCACAGTTCAACTACAAGTTTTAATGTTAACATGACCTGTAGTTGGCCATTGCAACGTAGATGTTCTTGTCATAGGGGTAGTTAATTTAACATGAAGACATCTCACAACAACAATCGTAACTTATCTACTCGTTCACATCGATGAAAAGAAGACAATCACAAGTGTAAACGAGACTTAAGCTAAGTTGAAGTATACCTTAAATGCTTCTCCAAGGGAGTGAACAAGATGTGTTTGCAATAGGTTTGTAGCGAGCTTGTTAACAAGTTGTGACAATGCTGTTCCAACAACTTGTCAACAAGATTTCTCGCAACAGGTTTGTAGCAAGCTTGCTAACAAGTTGTGACAGTGCTGCTCCAACAACTTGTCAACAAGATGTCTCCTCAACAGGCTTGTAGCAAGCTTGCTAACATGTTGTGACAATGCTGCTCCAACAACTTGTCAACAAGATGTCTCCTCAACAGGTTTGTAGCAAGCTTGCTAACAAGTTGTGACAGTGCTGCTCCAACAACTTGTCAACAAGATGTCTCCTCAACAGGTTTGTAGCAAGCTTGCTAACAAGTTGTGACAATGCTGTTCCAACAACTTGTCAACAAGATTTTTCGCAACAGGTTTGTAGCAAGCTTGTTAACAAGTTGTGACAATGCTGTTCCAACAACTTGTCAACAAGATTTTTCGCAACAGGTTTGTAGCAAGCTTGTTAACAAGTTGTGACAATGCTGTTCCAACAACTTGTCAACAAGATGTCTCCTCAACAGGCTTGTAGTACACACGTAAAAACGCACAAATTGTAACAAGTCTGCAAGCAAGTTGTTACACGTCTGTTCACAAGCTGTCAACAAATTGTGCTCGCACTGCTTGTTCCCAGTTTGTTGTAACAAGTTTGAAACAAGCTGTTAACAACTTGTAACAAGCTCGATGGCATTATCAGCCTTGTTACAAGATTGTGCTAACAAGTTTGTTACAGCCATGATAGAACAAGGATGTTACAAGGTTGTCAACACAAGGTTGTAACAATCTTGTTATATCAAGCATGTCACAGACTTGTCAGAACAACCTTGCAACAAGTCTGATAATTTCAACAAGGTTGTTACAAGTTGTCAACAAGTTGTTCCAAACCTGTTGACAACCTGTGACAAGCAGTGCGAATACATCCTGTTAACAGCTTGTGAACAGACTTGTAACAAACTTGTGCGTTTTTACGTGTGTAAGCTTGTTAACAAGTTATGACAATGCTGTTCCAACAACTTGTCAACAAGATGTCTCCTCAACAGGCTTGTAGCAAGCTTGTTAACAAGTTGTGACAATGCTGTTCCAACTTGTCAACAAGATGTCTCCTCAACAAGTTTGTAGCAAGCTTGTTAACAAGTTGTGACAATGCTGTTCCAACTTGTCAACAAGATGTCTCTTCAACAAGTTTGTAGCAAGCTTGTTAACAAGTTGTGGCAATGCTGTTCCAACTTGTCAACAAGATGTCTCCTCAACAAGTTTGTAGCAAGCTTGTTAACAAGTTGTGACAATGCTATTCCAACAACTTGTCAACAAGATGTGTTTGCAATACTGTACACACGCAAAAATCTCACATCTTGTAACAAGTCTGCGAACAAGCCGTCAACAAGATGTTCATCTCATGCAGGTTACAGTCAAATGAAAAGCAAGCGAAACAGTAAGGAAGTAAACTGCAAATAATTGCAACAAATGTTTTACCTGTACAAGTTTCTATGGGCCCCATGTCCAGGGTGTGAAAATCTGTATCCATTATAGACCCACATATGATCCCCTATGATCGCTGCTGCATGAGATGACCGCGGAGAAATTTCAGCACCTGCAGAGGAACAATGCATGCTCCGAATTAAAACTTGAAAGGAAACAATTTGGAACATAATCAAAATTGGATCTACTGCAAGATTGGAATTTGCGCATTGTACAAGCTTCAGAAATAGCGCCAAAGTTTACGTCGGATTTTAATATATCTAAAATTTGTCTTTAAGTTCATCTACACACCTGAATTCTTCGTTTTTATACTGGTCCAAAAAGAGGAGGTGATTGGCTGACTACAATCATTGCCTACAAAACATACACACGAGTTTATAAACAACCGAAAATGAATGTGAATTTGACTTAACAACCCGTATGGTGGAATCATCATCGCTACTAAGTGGCGGACACTACACGGCAAAAAACGCCGAGCCCGTTGCTCAACAGGACTGAACAATGTTTTGCTGCCCACGTTGTTCACACTTGTCAATAATATTGAACAATGTTGTTGAGCCTGAATCGGATGTAACAATATTGTTCAATATTGTTGACAGCTATGAACAATGTTGGCAGCAAAACATCGTCCAATCCTGTTTTCATCAGTATTGCATCAACCTGAGCGTTTTTACGCGTGTAGGAGAGGCGGAGGGGATCACCCTGATAGCCTTTGTATGCTAGCTGAATAACCATGTAACAAAGCTGTAACATTAATTACACAACCATGATAGTATTGACAGACTACGAATAAGCATATTAGGTGGTACATAACGTAATATGGCCAGGTAACCTAAACTCCCCCATATTTCGCAAAGTGTCTCAGGCGCATTTTTGGATACACGGACCTCATAAATACATGAGTGAGTTATCAGAGAGTTTAAGCTTCGCGTTTATACGCCAAACGGCAAACGCCAGGCAAAGAAACAATTTACGGTATCAGACAATAAAGAGTAAAAGAACTTGTTGTTTGAAGACTGCACTGCATGATTGTTCTTTGGACACAAGAAAGAAAATAAGAAACGAAAACGTTCAACGAAAATTTTGCCAATGTCAACGAAATGTTCAACGAAAATTTTGTAAATGTATACTTGCTAGAAAGTTCGAACCGATGACCGATAATCGGTGTCGGGCCGTTTTTGCCTTATCGGTAGACAATCGGAATCGGTAGAATTATCTATATTTCCGATTGTCTAAAACCGATCGTTTAGAAAATACGCACTTTAAAAATTATATGCATTGCACGTTGATACATGTTGCGTTTTAACGCAATATGTTAAATTAGTGTGTGAAGCGTGCCATTTATTAATGATGTTAACGATCTTTGATTGCAGTAACATGTTACCTTGGAAATTATCGACATGAATGACGTCACCTTTACTTGGTGTAATGATATTATGACGTCATTATAAAATCGGTATCGGCATTGGTATCGAGTAGATCGGGGCATGAATAATCGGTAATTATACCTGTCACATTTTAGCTAGACTTGCCACAAGTCGACCTTGAACGAAACGCGAGCAGCGAGCGCGAGCGACTTCGTCACTCGCGCTCGCTGCTCGCGTGTCGTTCGAGGCCGACTTGTGGCAAGTCTACATTTTAGCAAGAGTTACTACTTTTAGACTTTTGTAATTTCGTATTCTCTTTTATTTTAAACTTTACCCTAATCCTCACCCTCATTCTAATCCTAACCCTAATCTTAATCCTAACCCTAATCTTAATCCTAATCTTAATCCTAACTAACCCTAATCTTAATCCCAACCCTAAACCTAACCCTTACTCTAATCCTAACCCTAATCTTGACCCTAATCTTAATCCTAACCCTAATCTTAATCCTAATCTTAATCCTAACTAACCCTAATCTTAATCCCAGCCCTAAACCTAACCCTTACTCTAATCCTAACCCTAATCTTAATCCTAACCCTTTCCCTAATCCAAACCCTAATTCTAACCCTAAAAGTCTAAAAATAGTAACTGTTCCTAAATCGTGACTCATATGTCGGCAATCACTATTAATTATGACTGCTTGTTGTATACGAGTGAGAATGAAGTTGCGTACCTGCGAAGCCATCATTGCAGACACAGTTTCCAAATGTTTGATTACATGCACCATTTATACATGAACAATTCTTTTGTACATCACAAAGACTACCTGTCCAGCCTACGTCACAGACACACAGACCAGCTGTGTTACATTTACCATTGAGGCAAGGACAGTTGTCTAATATTCTGAAACATATTAAACAAAGGACAGTGAGCGGTGGTATTTTATAAATAGCCATAAAAATAGATCGCCACACCCACGATATTTTTTGGAAGGCTGGTTTTGACATTCTAGCTAAAAACCTTGCCTTATTGAGGATATGCATGGTACGTCAAGAGAGGGGTCACGCTAATTTTTTATCTTGAGAATAAGCGATCAATATGGGTCCAAAACTTCGTTTCTGGTTGCTGTCCGAAATTTCGAAATGATTAAAAACATTTCAAACAATTTTGGACTGTTACTCGCTCATTTTAGAGTTGTTTTATATGGTTAACCCAGCTCCTGACGTCATCAAAACCATAGTTAATGAGGTCAAGAATTAGTCCAAGATGGCGGACAGCTCATTAATTTCGATCTAAATATTTCGAGAACTAAGCAAGATATGACAAATCGGTAATAGAGTTTAATATATAATTCTTTTGATGAGACAAACTATTTTTTGTTGCCAATGTCCTGAAACTACTTTTCGACTGCCCGTTTTGTAGTTATATAGTAGTTAACTCTCAAATACGCGATTCTGATTGGTTAACTTTCACACTCACTGCAGTTAACTTTAACCACTTTTTTATACAATTGGCCTCAGAATACAGCGTTGCATGCATACCCCAATAATTTGTTTTAATTTGCAACAAATTGTATTTGAATTTATACCTATATGAAATATTAAATCCTGATTGAACTACACCCAGATCGCTGTAAAAATAAATATATGCTCTTCCCGACTTGGCAATAATTTCTTGTGGGATCCGCCCATAACTGCTGGAGTTGACGTCTCCTACCAAATAGCCACTGAAAAAGAAAGAGGTTACTGTATGTTAGAATAATAGACAACTTGCATGTACTAATTATTGATTCAGGCAAAAAAAAGTAAATTCCCGTAAAGAACTTATTAAAATCAGTAAAATTGCAAAATTTGGTTACAAAATGTTGTAAAATACAGAAAATATAGCCTTGCGAAGTAGTTGCATATTTTCAGTATGTTTGTAATACGTGCGGAAATTGTTACCATTTTCGAGCCGAAAATGGTAACAATTTCCGCACGCAATACAAATACACTGAAAATATGCAAACTTTGCAAGGCTATATTTTCTGCATTTTACAACATTTCCCAACCAAATTTTGCAATTTTACTAATTTCATTATTGTCTTTTTAACTGCGGTGTTTGATTCCCTTCTCTTTACTTAGATTAAAATTTAGTCTAACATGCAAATTGTCCATTAATGGCCAGAGGGCTTCGATCACCAAGCACTATTGTGCAACAGTACAAGGGCGGATTTTCATTTATTTAAAAGGAGGGGTAGAAAAATTTCTGGTGGGGTGCAAGCGACACCACTCAATGAGCTTCGGCAGGGGTTAGGCATTTGGGTTAAAGCCTTTCACACAAAATAGGAGGGGTGAAGCAAAATTTTGGTGGGGTTGAACACTTTATTAGAGGGGTTAGAGAGATTCTAGGAGGGGTTAAACCCCCCTAACCCCCCCCCCCCAGTAAATCCGCCCATGCAACAGTAAAAGGGCAGAGGAACATCCCAACAAAGGGCCTGATGAATGGGGGGATATTAATATAATTATGTGAATTGACTTACTTGAAAGCAGCCAAAAGAGAAGAATCTGTTGAGTCTCCATCAAAAATATACACATGATCCCAGTTACATTCAGTGAAAAATTCCTCTATTTGAAAATGTATACTAGCATTTACTCTAAAACAGAAATCAAATTTATTATAAGTGTGTACGTCTTATGACAGAATGAGAAATATTATATGCACACACATGCATTGGGAAAAATATCCACTGTTACTTTGGTCCATATTTTGCAAATAGTACGCAAATGTCAATTAATCCATGTGCCATGCAGCAATATGCCGTGCAGCACTAATTTCTCCTTGATGACCATTGCAAAAATTTTCCTATACAAATTCTTATAGGAATATTTCTTCCATGCAGATTCCCATAGGAATTTCTGTAAAAATAAAATTTCCTGTAAGAATAATTTGTACAGGAATTCCTATGGAATAGTCTGAAATTCTCATAGGCTTAATAAATTTCTTAGCTATAGGAATTTTCGGTGAGGGGAGTAAAATCATCTGGCATTAGACAGAGTAAATTAGCTAGGCTGCATTAGCCGGCACAATATGCAACTTAATTAATGGGCACACAAAATGGGACTTTTATACAGAACCCTGGCACTTAGCAGGGTATAATAGTCAACAATTTTTACCTATTTCCACTGTCAATTAACCACATTCGCTTGGATAAAACTGGATAACTTTCAACACCATCTGTTATATAACCTCTCGAACTAGTTAATCTGTAAAAATAAATTCATGACAATTGCTTATCTAGAGTCTTGTCTGGGTTAGACTGCGAGCGGTCCCTCCTTTCCACAGGTTTATATTTCCGGGCATGCAAAAGGAAAGGAGGGACTGCAGACAACACAACAAGAAACGAAATACGCATTGCCCACACAACGCAAAATTCCCATTGGTCGAAATCGATACGTCTGTCAATCAAATCTGATACATAGTAATTATGGTATAAATAGGGTACAAGAGCGAAAAGTGGGCAATTTCGTTTTTTGATGTGTTGTCGGCGGTCCCTCCTTTCTCCTGAGGGACTGCTAGCAGTCTATGTCTGGGTATGTTATATGAGGAGAGCTAGGATTGTCTTAAGTTAGCAAAAGTTGTCTGACTATTCCGACAAAAAGTTAGCTTCCTAAGCAAAATCTCACTCAATCATACTATATAGAGGGTGATAAGGAAGTGTCAATTATGCTTCCATACAGAGTATATCCTGGAAAAAATTATGCAATTGGTTTACCAACTCTAGTAGTGGGCATCAAAATCTATTCAAGAGATGAACTCTAATTGACACATACTTCGATCCATTATTACAGTAACATTGATCTATATGGCTGCTTAAAAACATTCTGGTTCACCGGCGTAATGAACAATGGTTGAAATTGTGCATCAGTTGTGTTAATTATTAATAGGTTTGATAGTCCCATACTTTAGACAGCCAGAAGATTGGTTCTTGGACCAATTTCAATAATCTTAGTGTCAAAATTCATCTCTTAGCTAGATTAGATTTTTGTGGAACATAGCTAAAACAAACACAACTTAAGTTGCCTCATTTAACCCATTGAGTCACATTGCGCCATGATGCACCCTACTTTATTATTTTACTCTGTCTGCCAGATGCAATTTTACTCGTCAAGGGGAGAGCACTGATTGACTTAATTAATGGGTTAAATTATATGCATTTATCGAGGTAGAATGTTTAATTCATTTGCACATCTAGCTTATACTTGTATTTTCAGCCAAAAGAACAAGCAAATGATTGACTCAGCCATTATATAATTAGCACAAAATATGTTTCCCACATATAGATCGACTATAAAAGGCAGGTCTTATTATTACAATTATCAAAATTAACATTTCAATTGTAATTGTTTTGCAAGATTCAAATACAAAAACAATCTTTATTCTGGAAAATTCCTCAACAAAACATAACAACTGTTTAGGTCCTTCGCCATGGTAATTGTATTAAATAAAAACAATAACAGCTTGAAGTATATGTGGGCTCAGATAAGGAAGTTAATTAATGTTTTGTATAGCCACAGATATAAAAAAATAATTTTGTATATATATATAGCAACTTAATGACAAAGAACTCTTTGAAAAAGACAACATTACTAAGTTCAACTTAAAAACGTTACTAGCTTTCTATTATAGCTAACCCATTGAATGGTAGCACTTTCTCACTGATCGATGCATGAGTTAAATTATCTTGTGTTATACAAAGAGTAAATCAAATAAAGTAGGGTAAATTATTATTATTATTAATTGCAACTTTAGTTTAATAAATTAAGCACAAATTGAAACTAAATCTGAGCATAACGATCCTAGCTATGCGCAAATATATGTTCCTCTCAAAACTAACAACCATCATTGGCCTTTTTCTTATGCAAATAATGGCTAATTCACTTGTTTAATTATAATAAGCAACTGCAGGTCCCTTCCAGCTAGCCTCTAGCTGTTTGTGTCATAACTGTTACTAATTTGCTCATCCATACTAGCAGATGAGCAAATTAGCAATGACACAAGGTAGCAATACCAAGATGCCACACTGGAATTGCATGGTGCTAGCTACATATATGCCACACACTTTGCCAATAATGAGGTGACAGCTAGCTAGGTCTGGGTCAAAGCTGGGTAAGCCTTACTCACTGGCCGGTGCATGCACCACACTTCAATTAGAATTACTATAGGCTTTAAATCTCAGTGAGACTGTAGCACACTTAAACCCCTGTCAAACGAGAATGAGAGTTGCAATGCTAGCTCGCGTTTATGATCACCAACTCTCATCGACTCTCATCAGTTTTAAGTGAATTGGGCATGGGCATACGGGCCTAATCTTGTTTGGGGGGGCACAGTATCAGTTTTCCCGACCATCGCTAATTAATATTTCTCCACAAAACTTTTGGCGAGCAGGGGGGGGGAGGTCACCAAAAAAATTTTCCCGGACATATCAAAAAATTTTCTCTAATATCCCGTATTTTTCAGAAACATACAAATAATTTTCCGGATATAGAAAAAAAAATCTCCCCTATATACTGTAATTTTCAAACACATACAAAAAATTTCCGGGCATAACACAATTTTTCCACAATTTTTATGTTTTGCCCGAATCACGCATGGATTTCTGCCCGACCCTAATAATTTTTGGGGGGGCCTGTCAACTCTTGTTCTTGTTTGATATGACCAGGCCATGAAAGTTAAGAAAACTCCCATGCAAACTCTTGCTTCTCAAGTCTCATCAAATCTCTCGTTTGACCACGCGTGGCTTTACTATAATAGGTAAATCAAAGGTCTTTCAGCAATGATATTTGATATCACATTCTAATCAGACTACAATCAGGATTACTTTTTTCATGAAAAGGAGAAAAAGAAGGCATACTGTGGCTCAATAAGTTAATAGTTAACTTTTTAATATGTGTTTGTAGCTGAAAATATGACATATAAGTATATAACCAAGTTTTATGATTGATAATTTGAAACAGAAAATTTTATATAATTTATACCGGTATAATGACTCGAGTATAATGACTAATGTAATAAAATATCTTCGGATTATTATTATATTCATGCTGATTTTAATTTGCAAACAAAAGAGAATACATGATATAACCACAAATTCTTCCTAACTTTTAAAAGAGAAACATTGTTGCCAAATTCAAACTACAGTAAATATCTTTAATTATTCTGTGGCTTTGAAAGGAGATAAAATATAGCCTACTCTTTAATAGTACCAAGAACAAAAACACTTTTGTCCGAATTGAAAACGTATCCGTAGGGAAAGGATGCTTTTTTAGTAATGTTCAATTTCTACATGCATTTTAATATTTTCAAAACCACACAAAATAAACCAAATTTAAAAGAAGTAATCACACACGTAACTATGCCAGAATTAAAGGTCTTAAAAATTAAAGGTTTCTGCCTTATTAATTAATACATTATATATACAATATATTTTAATAAAATTGTTCCCCAAAACCTTTAAAAAACGGCAAGTTTGACATATTTAAACGATATCCTTCCATCGGTAATAACAACACTTTATAAAACTTTACAGATTAAATTGTAAATAAGATTTAACTTACTCAAATTACTCGAGTGTATGTCAAACAGTACTTGTCACATTAAAATTAAAAATGAAGTCAATAGTAGACGGAGAATACGGCTTAATTTCTTGTTTAAAATCTCTTCTAAACTCTGAAAAGTATAATTAAATAAAGAGGAATACCTTATGCGTCCGTATTTACAATCTGTCCCCCAATATCCGTCGTTGCAAACCAATGTACAGTTAGTTTGTTTTGAACATTTAGCATTCTGTACAATTCTACCTGAGCAGTCACAATCGGCCGTAGACGACGTTAGCGAATCAATACCGACAATAATATATATCAGAAGCAATAAGCCATGGTTTTTAGTCAGGTTATAACACCACATTCCTCCTATTAAAGTGCCTTTATTTCAAAATAAGCCACATATCGTTGTGTTGTACTTTGTGGTTTATAATAATACAGACTCCATACTTTCATGATATTTTAATCTCCTTTACAAAATATTAATTTATGCAGTATCCGTATAGAATATTTAAAAACCCTGGGAACGAGGTTAATATTTAATTACGTCATTTCTCTTCTTCCCATGCCGGAAAATATTCTAAACAGTTTGTTTGATGTTGTCAATGTTGGTCTGAAAACTCAGTAAACTTCAAAGCGGTCTTACAGTTGATTTCACCATGGATAATAAAATAAATCAAGATGATCAAGCAGGATCAAGTTGATTGGAAACCGGCCAATCAAATTCGAAAGTTTCGCATCAAATTATCGAAATTCGTTATGAAATTCCGAACCACCCCCCTGGACGTTCGCCATTTTTAGTATTTCCAGGGGGGGACTGCTTCTGTTTACGGTACTTGCTGAGTGACGAATCATGACGAATAGCGCTTACGCTAAAAACAATGGAGATGGCCTTCTGTGTAGTATTCTGTGCTCTGGTGCACGTCTCCTCACTCTGGTGCACGTCTTCTCACTCGAGATGATTTTTTCAGACTCTCTTATATAGTTGGCGATGCAGGAAACACCTGGTAACTTCTGTTTAGGCTAAATTCAGACGTGGTTCCACATCCATATGAACTCTAGAGACAATACCCTTTGTTTTCTCAATATTTCGTGAGTGTATCACCATTTGCACAATAATTCTGCATTTTTGCATTTATCCGCCTAACTAAATTACCAGTGGCGGCGTAACAATTTTTATTTTGGGGGGCTAATTTCCATAAACGGTCCAAGATGTAAAACGTCTTCCCCGAAATGTTGGCGACGGGAGGGGGCAAAAAATTTTCGCCCCTAACATATTTCCTTCTTAATATTTTTAATACACGTGCCGATTTTCTTTCATCTTTCCTGAATTTTTTCTCTAAATTTACCCAATTTTTACACATATACTTCAAAATTTGGAATCTTATCCACTTTTGGGGGGAACTTACCCCCTAGTTTTATTTTTCGGTTGTTATAGCCCCACAGCCCCCTGTTCTGCCGCCATTACGTTGTCTGACGCCGTCACGCCGTTCTTTCTGATGCTCATTTTCCGTTCCGGTTATCCTTTGTAAAAACTGTCGAATCTCAGAACGTGGATGCCCCTAGAAACATGAGGTACGCTAATACGAAGTAGGGGCTTAGAGAAGCGACTCTGTATAGCTCCAATCCGGCCCCATTAATAGAGAGGTTGACATTTTGACTGCACTACCGCTGCCATTATTACCATTAATACCTAATCAGATGCATTTTTTCTATCCAAATCTGAACCTTTCTAAATATCGTAATTACGTTGTCACAATGCCTTTGAATAAAACTGACTTGGTTTGATTGTCTAGCAACGTAGGCCAGACGTGATATCTTATTGAGTTACAATCTTTATCCGAGTCATAAGATTTGCTTTGCATTGATGAGTAAAGCTTGTGGCATTAATGTAATTAATGACCAGAGGTGGAACACGAGTTGATACAGTCCAAGAGAATCGTAGGACACAATCCCTCTATAACCTCCTTTGCACAAAGTGTTCATACATAGCTAAAACTATATACATGCGATGTATAGTGGTTTTTGTAGCAAGCTTGTCAACAAGTTGTAACAATGCTGTTATTTTATCAAGTTGCTACAAGGTTGTCACTCACAACTTGTTAACAAATTGTTGGATTGCAACACAATAACAAGTTGTTGGAACAAATTGTAACAATTTGTTGGAAAAAATTGTAACAAGTTGTTGGAACAAATTCTAACAAGTCTGTTGAACTCGACAACCTTGTAGCAAATTCCAACAAGCGGTTGACAACTTGTCAACAAGCTGGGAACAAGCAATGCGAACACATCCTGTTGACAAGTTATTGGAACAGCATTGCTGCAAGTCTGCTGCAGGACTGTTACAACTTGTGCGTTTTTACGTGTGTACAATTCCATCGATCAGTTAATGTATCTACTACTTACATCAGCAACATGATGATCTATATCAACTGCAGATTTCCTTAATTGTAGCAAAATCTGGTTGGTCAGAGAAACATAGTTTTCATTTTCTAAATTCTTCAGGTCGACGCCAATTAGGAGAGAGTAAATTTTCCTGCGTCTGATTTCTAGTTCTTGTCCAGCAAGGTGAAATAAAACCTAAAGAGATTACATCTTTAGAGTGCCGTTATTTCACTATCAATCCCACTCCACTGATGACGCTTGGAATTCCTCAACAATGCACCGACTGGGGGCTAAGTACATGGAATAAAGCATTGTTTTGTGTCTTCATGATCACCTGGGGATTTTGGGGGCATGCTCTCCCAAGGAAACTTTAGAACATCTGTGTTGGTGTTTGGTAGAGTCAACTGAATGTAAGCCGTCTTCAGCTCATATGTAACTGAGAAAAAATTCTAATTTACTTGAAATATAGAAGTTTTATTCAATATTATCCAAATCATCCATCGCCTCCAATCGTAATTCCGAGTAGAGATCATCATATTGCTCGATAAGCTGTTCTGCTCGTGGCAACTCGTCAGAAATGCTTTCGAATTTCTCACTTTCCGGTGTGTGACAGCTAGCAGTACACTCCATCATAAAATGCGTGACTCTGAGGCAACACCTCCCCCCCCCCCCAAAAAAAAAATACTCACAAATATGCAACAACAGATTCAAAACGTTATCTATAAAACTCGTTAACTTATTAAACCTCGGCCTAAACAGTTTCCCACTCAGGCTTTCGCTGGTTCGTCGAATAAACGGGAGTGGTGTATTCCATGGCGATGTCAGGAAAAGTATTTAATAGAAAACATTGATTTGTCATCTAAGGAACACATATTTGAAAGCAAGATCTTGTTTTGTTATAGACAGGGATAAATTTCCCCCTATACGCCTCTCCGCCACGTGATATCGCTTGTGATACCCTCTCAACCTCGTCCCCAGGGTCACGAGGAAGACCTTGGGGATGAAGTTGATACCCTCTCCCCGCTTGTGACGCTATGTGACTCCTGATCAAACACCTCCTACTCCCACATATTTTGTGAATGGCCACCGACGTTCTTAATTTTCTACGGACAGACGAGTACAAGATTAGAAATATCTTTCTTAAAGATATCGACGTAACTATGGATTACGTGGGAGCTTTGACAAGGAAGAGGTAATAAAGTATTTAATATATAACGAAGAAATTATTTCGTGTCTAAGGAAGTGCGAAAGATGCGGACAGAACAATTATTGATAACGCCAACCAATTTGGTTGTCATTAAATTATCACTGCTAAAAAAAGTTATCCCCGACTAAAAAAACGTTTGCTGTGTGTAAAGTTGTACAACGCGGGGATTGGCCGGCTGGCGTTTTCGACTACGAGAAGGTCCCTCTGCTGCTATAGCAAATAATGAAAGAAAAAAGTTTAAGGTACTGGACTACTGGATGTTAAGCCTGTGGAACATGGGCAAAACGCAAACTCGTGCTGACAGAAGATGGAACTGTTTACAAAGTCAAGCGATCTACTGTAATCTAGAAAACATTGTAAAAACTGGACAATATGTTTAAAACTGTTTATTTATGCAACAGGATCGAATAATATATTTAATTACTGTTTACTCGTGTAAAATTGTTGTACTTTACAAATAAATTGTTTACACGTTTATGCATGTGTTAATTAATGCATGCAACCAAACGGAGCTAATTAGCCATTTTCCAATCGAGCAGAGGACTGGGTCTAGTTGATGTTTGGAGGAACGTTTGGAGGGACAAGTTATAGTGAGCGAGCTAGATTTATATTAAAAGATGCCTTATTAGAATTGTTGCATTTCAGGCTGTACAAATAATTTTAGGAATGTAGGAAAACGTCCTAGATGCCATATTCGGCATGTTGTTTTTTTTGTCCCTCCAAACAAGCGACTAGACCCGGTCCTCTACTTGATTGGGAAATGGCTAATTACAGGACGAATTTCAATATTTTCATCTAATAAGTATACATTTACGTATTCGTATAATCCCTTTTATCTCCCACATGCAGCACTTGGCACGTTTCATGTATTCTTTTTCGATGTCTATCCTGGATTGCAAAATAAGGCCAATTATCATGTGTTGCTGTTGCCTGTTGAGCCAGCGGAAACCCGATATAGCTTTGTTACGATGTGGATTGAAAATAAGAGAGCGACCAACTAGTGACAAGGACTTCAACCGCTTCATGCTGATCCTTTTATAATCATAATTTTGCATTTGCATGCCCAACCATTTATAATTTCAAAATATTGAAAAAATGTTACTCCCCCGCATCCCCCAGCACCATTGTTCTCAATCTTCATCATATTCCACAAGTATATGTAGTACTCTTATATCTTAATCATTTCGGAATTAATCCTGTCAATTTGGAGTTTCATGGCTTCACAGTGTGATAACGACTGGCAGTCTACCAACAAGACAGCCTTGGAAAGAAACACTTATGTGTTTAACAATTCATTGATGTGCGACATCACATTTACTTGTGGAGAATCAAAGCGAAAGCATTTCCACGTCCATAAATATGTTCTAGCCACGAGCAATGTTGTCTTCCAATCTATGTTTTACGGAAAGCTAGCTGAGAAAGCCTCCGTCATTCACCTTCCTGACACCGATGAAGTCAGTCTTCAAGAGTTTTTTCGTTTTTTGTACACCGACAATTGTACAATTACACCTAAAAATGTGAGAGTGTTGATGTACTTGGGCCGGAAATACATTGTTCCTTCTTTGATGGAAAGATGCGTCGATGCTCTACATGAATGCATGCAGCCAGATAAGGTACTTGAACTTCTTGAAGAAGCGATATATTTTAACGAGAAGGAGCTGAAGAAGAAATGCTGGGAAGTCATTGATGTGCAGACAAGTGACGTCGTGTCCTCAGATGCCTTTTGTGATATCAGTCAGGCGACGTTAATTAACTTATTAAAACGAGATACGCTTCACATCGCGGAAGTAGATTTATTTAAAGCTGTTTTAAAATGGTCCGAAAGTCAATGTTCAAAGAATGGCGTACAGGCAACTGGTCGAAATAAAAGAGCAGTTCTCAATAATGCTCTCTACGAAATCCGTTTACTCTTGATGTCACAAAAAGAGTTTACCCAACATGTCTCCTCGTCTGGATTGCTCACGGCTGAAAAAATTGTACAAATATATGGTGAATTTAATAACGACTCTTCTCGTGTACCTGTAAGGCGACGAGGAAAGCAGGTCAAACATCAATTGCCCATACAAAGGCTTACAAGTTTTGTTAAATTTTTTATTCCTCTAATGTTGTATATAAAGTCGTGCGTTTTGATTACTTATAATCTTATTGCTCATATTCCCTGACCAGCCTGATTTACTTAAAATCAGTTTGTTTTGCCAATGCTAATTATCGCCTTTTTCGTCTTCTTATCTTTGCTGCTGTGATCGCTGGGCTACATCTGGTGCTATATAATGTTTATACTTTTGCCATGGTTTTGTGTTCCAGTTTTATAGCGGTGGTTTTTATTAGTATTTATTTATTTTTTGGCGATGAGTTATATACTACATTGATTGATTCGGCTACTTTTACTATATTAGTGATAATTGTTTCATTTTCTCCCGTCATGATGTTCGGAGGAAGAATGTAAGCTATCGATAAAATATCAACGAGGTATAAAACTAAATAGCAATAAATTAAGACGCAACTTTTGAGTTGGTTTACCTTCCACATGTTAGCCATAAGCTAGGTCCAAGAACTTGGGATGAACATTCCTCATATATATAGCCACTCACTCTGTGGCTGTGAACTTTGATAAATTGGATAAACTTTGTGAACTGTGGATTGTGACACCAACTGCCATGGGCCAAATATTCGGTAACGAATATTATCAAACTAATTAATAATTCATGCGAAATTTTCAAAATAAATACATGTTTAATCAATATCTGTACATATTATACATAATCCTGCGGATTTACATTAACTTCAAAAGGGAGATAAACGTGAGCTTGCTTATGAGCACACTACGTGATTTTCGTGAATGTATATATGAGCGTGCTCATAAGCGTGCATACCGGATTTTGGTACATTCTCATGAGCACGCTAATACATGTACCAAAATCCAATATGCTCATGAGCACCGGATCGTAAATACCAAAATCCATTATCCTCATTAGAATCTTTTCTTTGGAAACTTAGTATGACAGTGCAAATCAAGCAGAAAAAGCTCTATTATAATTCCTACACTTCAGATAAATTTTTAACATTGAAGTTCAAATTTCAGGTAAAATCTTCCGACATCCCCCAAACTTCAGATGCTTCGCTACGTCCCTGGCCAAAGATTATGACTTCACTACCGCTACTGTTAATACCATTACGTAATCAGATGCATTTATTCTATCCGATTAACCAATCAAATGCGCAGTAAGCTTGTGAGAAGTAGCAATATTGGAAGTCAAATCTGAACCTTTCTAATATCGTAATTACGTTGTCACAATGCCTTTGAATAAAACTGACTTGGTTTGACTGTCTAACAACGTAGGCCAGACGTGATATCTTATTGAGTCACAATCTTTATCCGAGTTATGAGACTTGCTTTGCATTGATGACGTAAAGCTTGTGGCATCGTAACTAATGACCAGCGGTGGAACATGAGTGGATATAGTCCAAGAGAATCGTACACAGGCCTCCGCGAAGTGGCGTAATTCTTCACATGACCTGAGCTCTGGGAAATCAAACATTGTTGAACACAATCCTTCCATAACCTCCTAAACACAAAGTATACGTTCATACATAGTCAGAACTATATACATGCGATATAAAGTGGTTTTATATCTACTGCACGATAGTATTAGTCGTAGCCAATCTATGATGGTCAACCGCGCAGTAGTTATATCGAGAAAATTATGTTAATTATTTTCTTTCAACATTTCTGAATAAAGGTGTGAGACTGAGATGTTATAACAAATTCGCTCATCCTGCGTGTGTGATAAAGCGAGCTTAACGTAAAGCGGCCTTATGATACTTTCTGCAGTCGATTAAATAATCTCTCTGCAGATCAACCACTCAGATAATCAACTCAATACACGTAAAATTAAATCTCACAACTTGTCAACAAGATGTGCTCGCAACGAGCACATCAGCTTGTAACAATGCTGTTATTTTATCAAGTTGACACTCATAACTTGTTAACAAATTGTTAGATTGACCGATGATAACAAGTGTTTGGAACAAATTGTAACAAGTTGTTGGAACAAATTGTAACAAGTTGTTGGAACAAATTGTAACAAGTTGTTGGAACAAATTGTAACAAGTCTGTTGAGCTCAACAACCTTGTAGCAAGTTGTCAACAAACCGCTGACAACTTGTCAACAAGCTGGGAACAAGCAGTGCCAACACATTCTGTTGACAAGTTGTTGAAACAACATTGCTACAAGTCTGCTTTATTACAACTTGTCCGTTTTTACGTGTGTACAATTCCATCAGCATTTCCACTACTTACATCAACAACATGTTTGAGATCTATCTCAGCAGCAGACTTCCTTAACTGTAGCAAAATCTCGTTGGTCAGAGAAGCAGAGTTTCCATTTTCTAACTTCTTCAGGTCGACACCAAGGAGAGAGTAAATTTTCCTGCGTCTTATTTCTAGTTCTTGTCCAGCAAGGTGAAAAGAAACCTAAAGAGATTATACATCTTTAGAGTAGCGTTATATTTCACTATTAATCCCCCAGTCCACTGGAAGGTGCCCAACAGGGGGGCTGAGTACTTTTAAGTACACTACACAACTAACCTACTTACTACTACAAATCGCCTAAGTTGTCGTAGGCGAGTTGTGTGTTTGATTTGCAGAGTACAACTGAAGTTGTAAGCAGGTTGCATGCGACAGTTTTAGGCAAAGGTTTTTGTAGTGTAAATCGGCCTTTACATGGAACAAATGTCGTATAATGAATAACTCAATCAGTTCGAAACTGTTCTTCCTAAAGGTCCAGTAAGAACCATTCTCTCCCTCGCGTAGGTATACCCCGAATTAAAATACCCCCACGCTATCTTACCGTCATTATAGCAAATGATATCTGTGATTTAATTTTATCACTCTTCTCAAGAGAATTCAAGCTTTCGATATTATCCAAATCGTCCATCGCCTCCAGCCGTAATTGTGAGTAGAGATCATCATATTGTTTGATAAGCTGTTCTGTTCGTGGCAACTCGTCAGAAATGCTTTCGAATTTCTCACTTTTCATTAAATTGTTCTTTGCTTGCGTTGTCAACCTGGAAGAAAAAATAACAAAAACTATTACTTATGATGCTGATTCGATCACTTAGCATAGAATGGAATGGAACAAAGCAATCTCGAACCCCTAGCCTGCGGGTATGAGATTGGGAACAAAGGTAACCGAACATTTGGGTAGCAATGGAGAAATCTCTTTTTCGTGGAAATTCTCACTTTTCTAACAACTGTTCCTCTCGTTTCTTCAAGTTTTTCACAAGAGTTCGTGTTTCTGCTAGCTGCTTGTCTCTCGTTGCTAATGTCTCTTGGAATTTTGATTGTTCAGCCTCGTTGTTGTCTGTGATTGAAGCTCCTGCACGTTCTTCTACAAAAGAAGTGAAAAACATCATATTTCTTTTTCTGTTTGTACTACAAAGCATTAATTAAATTAACAAAGGTGGTGTTTTGTAAACATATACAAGAACAAATTCTTCATGCAAAACATGCAGTGGAATACGCCATGCGAAAATTAAGAGTCTAGCTATAACAAATATAAATTTATGTAATATTTATGACTTTTTATAAAGGTCATTGTCAAACTGCCAGTCTTGGCCTCAAATCATTGTCTCACCTACATTTATATTAGACCCTTTCGGATAAACCTTACTACAATGAATAACTGGATGGTATAGAATAAGATTTTCAAAACAATGAAAAGACTGGGACATTAATACTAGAGAGTAACGGCCAGTAACTGGTCATAGATGTCATGAAGAACAGACAGATGTTACCTGAACGTGGTTCCCTACATGAATGTGTTCTAAGAGGTCGCCTTCCATCGATGCGACGCCGAAACGGCGACGATGTCGTGACGTCAGTCTTGAGCCCGTGGTTAACCAGACCAGTGTCCGTTTCCTCCACCTTTTGGACGGAAATTTCAACGTCCTTTTTGACAGAGGTTTCAACATCTTTTTTAACTGACTTTTGATCAGCTGGGTGAGGTTCCTTTTCAGACAACACTACAGAGAGAAGTCCGTCATATGAATTGACAAAAGAACCAAAAATCTTTTCCAGTTTGATGTGCGCGAAGCACGGTCTTGTAATATGCGAAGAAAGTTCTGATATAACTTCCAAAAACTAAAAAAATGTGTAAAATATTGTAAAGGAATATACTAACGTTGATAATATCTTAAATATGAGCCCCAGGTAGTGTTCAATAGAATATCATGTCCAGTTACATGGGTATACAAAACTTCAGGATAGACTTGACTTATAAGATTTTTCCTGGATGTACACGAGAATTTATAAACCTGGACTCCTACACAAACCTTAGCAAAATGTTTATGCGATACATCTTATTGTAAATGATATACTAAAGTACAAGATTCGTTATTTGCGCATCGGCTACTCTATGTTCTACTGTCGTCAATGCTTGATTCCTATGTGCGTAAAAAACGAGTCTTATACTGTATGATAGTTGAATCTTATAGACATCTCTATAATCGAACACCTCTCTAATACGGAGTTTTTGCTATGTAATTTCAGTCAATCCGTATGAGAGATGTACGACTGTATATATAACATAATGGGTAACATACTTTATTGTCATTCTCCACCAGTTCTCTCAAATTCTGTAGCAAGCGCGGTCCTTGTTCAATATCCTTCTTACAAGGTTCGATAACATCCAGGACAACCTGATTAAACATCACTCTCTTGCGTACTTGCTCTACACTACCTCGATGTGAAGTAATATCCCCGACCAATGACCGTGACCGCGAGAGATGGCCTGCATTGTGCCGTGTTGTACTACTCTTTCTTGGAGTCTCATATCCCTCTTTATATATAACTGTATACCCTTTACCTTCACTGTGCTTCCTTGTCCCTGCTTTGGTAAGGGAGTCGAGATGACGTATAAAAGAATGATACTTAGTCAGATAAGATTGAAGATTGCTTTTTATATCATCAACTCCGAAACCATAGCCAGTCACTAAAGTTTTATTATTCTGATAATGTTCAAGAGCTGATTTTAGCCTTGCACCGTAACTCATTAGTTCGTCCACCAAACTTTTGTCCATTGCCCACGTGACCTGGGTTATGTGACCAATCAAATGGTTGCATTCTAAGTCTCGCTCCAGTCCCTCGACTAAAACACTTTCCACTTCATATCGAATAAAGTTTTTTAAGAGTAAATCTGCTTTAAATACATGACGTATTATCAGCCTGCCTTCCTCCTTGTCGTTTGCTAACGACATAAACTTCGTGTATAAGTTCTCTAACAGCACTAAGCTCGCAGGCAAATCCTGATTAAGGGATTTGAATGGAATTACTTGTAACGCATCTTGCAAATCATCGTAATTTTTAATAACAGCGAGTTCTTTCAAGGCGTCTTCATAATTTCTTTGTTTTAAAGCAGCGATCAAAGGTGTCCATTTCGTCATGATGAGATCACTACGAATTACCTATAAATGGAATTAGGTTTCGTGATTGGTTGGTTTAAACAATAGAGTAAAGTTCTTTGTAGGTTTGCATGGCGATAAAACAAAGTTTCATATTATCTGCAAAGCTTTCATATTATTAGCACTGATGAAGATCCGGGCTTACGGATCGAAAGCTTTGCAGTAATAAATTTACGTGGCGTTTCCACAAACAATAGTATTAAATAAAATAAAGTTTCTAAGAGGGTCCTGAAGGGGTAAAATGGGAACTGGGATTGATCTATTTTTAGACTGGGAAAATGGGATTTGGGTTGCTGGGACTGGGATTTGGCCACTGGGAATGGGAAATGAAGTCCTCAAAAATGGGAATGGGATTGAGGTAATGCGAGTCGATTCCCAATTTTTCTACGTTTTAAGTATTTTAAAATACAATTTTGATCCGTTTTTGGTGTCTTTGGTCATGGGTTTTCTGATTATGCGTGTCTCAGAATGCTGCAAATGCCATTTCCGGGATTCAAATTTAAAAATTTTCCGTGCCTTCGGCACAACCCTCCCCCAAATTTATAACGTGTGTACCACTTGCACACACAATGGCTTAAAAGTCTTAAAACTGTTTATTGTACTGATAAATAAAGGGGTTTTTATTGACTGGGATTTCAATAACTCGGACTGGGATTTCTAATAAAAATCCAACTGGGACTGGGATTTTGCCAAAATTTCAGGTGGGAAATGGGATTGGGACCCCCCCTTCAGGACCCTCTTCTAAAGAACGAGTCACTACGCTAATCAGTTTTGTTTAGATAAAACCAATCACAACAAATAAAAGTGACTGTATAATCTTGAAGTGAAGAAGTGACTGTAATCTTGGGCATTGCTATGCCATTGAAACCATTCCTTGACATATTACAAACTTGATGTACAATGACAAGTCAAACTTCATTCCCTCTTTCCCCAGTTCAATGTTGCAAACAACTTCCAAACATCCTTTGGCGATTCACCTGGACACAAGCTCAAGACTGAGGGGGGGGGGGGGGGGGGGGTTTTAAAACGGGGGGGGGGGTTTTAAACGGC